CGGTTCCTGAGCCTTTGTAGGGATAGTCGATGATTTGCTGGGTGAGGACGCCTTGATCTACCACCAGTCGCCAGTATGGGATCTTCTGTGGCACGGATTGTTCGATCTTTTCGGGGTTCTGGTCCCCTTTTTCGGTCGCCATGATGGGCGATTAATCGATGTGGAACTCGAGCGGAAGTGGGGATATATGCGGTTTGATCGTGGAATATTCGGGAGTATTATAGATCTGGATAAGAGGGATTCGAGATTGTTTGTTTCTGAGAGAGCGATCGTAGTAGATGAAGGGAGATTAGGAATTCAGGTAGTATAGACAGTGACCGCCGAATGCGGAGGATGGTGAAGTATAGTGTTCTGGATTAGGAAATAGTCGAGGCTGTACTGTATGTACAAGAAAAGGTAAGGTAGGTAAGGAAAAAGAAATGTATGGGGTATCAATAACAGAATAAGGTCACACAAGAAGACCAGAACAAGAAAGAAGGAAAATGAGGAACATATATAACTTGCTTCAAGAATGGATTTTTCTAATTTTTTTCCTTTTTCCCTTAGTTTTTTATGTCTTGCTTCTTGATTTCATGGCACCGTCACTGGGGAGTCATTAGCGTCGGACCCCTGCCGTAGAAAACGCCCTCCCGTATCCATAGATAGCCCGCAGAGGGAAGAAGAAGGAGAATAGAAATCCGTTCTAGGCCAATCAGCGGGTCGCAACGCCGGAATTTGTGGCATTAATCGGGTTATGCTCAGCATTAATCCGTCAGCCAACGTCGGCCTTGGCCGATGTGGAGCACGCAGCCGCCATCTATTGAAGCTCGAGATCCATGGACGCTGGATACCTCGTGGTCTGGATCATTAGCATAAGGTAGGTGGTACAGGCACTGTATTTACTTCCGTGTGTCAATAATATGAGAAGCAGTTCGTGATCATAGTTGCATTCAAGCTTGTGTACCTCTCTGCGGGGTATGAATCCAAGTGCAAAGTATGGACTGGTACAGAGTTCAATTGCAGCGTCATCGATCATCAACCTCGAATCCCAATGCGCACTAGGCATGAATGTGCCGGGGGCTTTGCATAAAATGTCTGTTTTGGGACTAGCGTATCTCAGTACTCGGCTCTCGGCATCTCGTCTGCGGGACTTAGCTTTGTAATAATAAACTCCGTAGCACTGCTGCAACTGCAAGTCCTGATCATCTAATCTCCGCAAGAGTCGAGACAGGTCAATACATACGGAGTACATGCATTGAGATGCCGCTTATCTCCGTTAAAGATCATGCTGTGTAAAGTTGTAAATTTTATCCTCACTTGATTATCAATCACGTATAATTGTATCCCATCTGCCAGAGCCACGGAATAGAAATTTCTCAATGGAAGTATTCTGGTGTTTTTGGCCGAGGCTCAGTTCATGAACCTCCTGGATGCTTCTGGTTCTGGTGTTGCCACCGACGCTAAGCCCTCAGACACGGTCTTGGCATTTGGTCTAACACTGAATTTTTCTTGCTTGACATTATCTGGTCTAGCCGAGATACTGTTCCAGATGTGAATTATCTCTTGGCAATATACAAGGAAATCTTATCACAGTGTTTCGATTCAGGAGACGATCATGCCGTCATTTGTACGGAGTAGTTGATCGTCTATCAATCGATCTCAAGCTTTCAAGCCTTCGAAAGTCAAGACCCTCGGATGGTCGGGTTCTCGATAGAAGGCTACTATCGGTCAGGCAGCGAGATTTTATCCATCAGACGTCTTAAGTCTACGAGTCGTGTCAGGGGATTTATTGAGTCTACCCCTTATGACCCACTCTCATTTTATCCCAATGAATTGACATCTTACATTCATAAATTATTAGGCTACATAACTGTCAAATGACATATTTCGCGTGGACCACGTTGTGGAAGCATATTTTTCAGTCATCTTCTTCCTGATGTATCGGGCTCCAGAACCTCAGTGTCCTTTATTCTGCGGGATATGCCGTGTATTGATCTTATTTAGCTGAACCCAACACTCAACGCTTGAGGCTCTGTCTGTTCAGCATGATTACTGAAGTGCATACATGGTACAGTAGCGTCTGCAGCATGCCATACCTATTCTGTACACTATTAGGCTTTTGCACTGATCACCAGTTCAGGCTTTCAGGACAGCCAGACTCCTACTGTGTGTACGAGCCAGGCGAATCTAGATCTAGCATTATTTTGATCTCAAACCCCACCATAGCCGTAGGCTCGTAACATGGATCCGTATTCCCCGAGATCACTACGAACACATCCTGGCTTAACGTTATGCAAGAAGCACGGTCTCAGAGTACCATTTTGACTTCTAGAAACTCATAGATGGCACTTCAGACCAACAAAATATATTACTGTCATACAGCTCAAAAAGATGACCTATACTCGAGTGCCTCAGTGAGTTGTCTCAAATTAACGATGTTGATGATAAATCAAAGCAGTGTGGTATAGATAAACCGAGGCACATCACCCCTTCTTATCAAAGACCGATAGCACGTACCCCCCTATTATTGTAATCGGTAATCAAGCATAGATCGGATGACCGATTCACTAATCACTTTGTTCATAATGAATTCATCTGATGGTTTTGCTTGTATTCAGAATTGTTGTCTGAGGTACGAAGTAGAATCGATCTCAAACTCAAAACTCAAGATCTTGCTGTCTCATCAAGCCCTCTGCTCGGCAGCTCGCTCTCCTCGTCCTCTTCCTCTTCCTCTTCCTCTTTCCCTCGTCTCTCGTATGGAGTCTGCTGTCTGCTAGTCTTCGAGACAACAGGTCAAATACTGCTACAACCAAGATTAACCGCCACCGCATTATTGGCCTAGCAGTATGATTCTTGAGATAATGGCCGGATCGCCAGACCTAAATGCGGTCAGCCACTTCTGATGCAGCCACACACCCTCTATCACCTTCTTAGCAGAGGGCGGACGAGATAAGTTAGAAATGACAAAGGATCCAGCACCAGCGGAGCCTTAGCAGTTAGGCTCATGAAGTACTTCGTCTTGTATGGATGTTTTGTTTCGAAAATGCGAGGTCACCTGTGCAATGACCGCAATCCTCGATTCGAAAGTACGAAACGTGTCAGCTCGCAGACGGAGCTTCAGCATCAGCCCCTATGCGATTATCCCGGGGGATATCTTAACAACTGTGAGCAATAGCATCAACAAAAAAGCTAACTCAGGCATACGAAAGTCATTATGCATAGTCTTGACCACATAGGTGGCACGACCTAGGGCCCCCAGGTTCGATGTCTTTTGCCAAAGCGATTGTTTTTCTGATCGAGACTGGCAGGCGCTTTTTGGGATGTCAGCAATCGCATAACTCATGAAACTCGAAGGTGCCAATCACCCAGACCTGGCCTTGCTTATCGATGGGAAAACTGGGGTGCATATCTGCATAGTAGCATAGTAGTGGTTCAGTACTGAAATCCAGCTTATCTTGTCTTCCGTGATACCGTTGTACAATTCTAGGCACTATCATATGTTAGTCCAACCAGGAGTTTTGCTCCCTATTCAAACCTAGAAAAAGACCTACTCTATTGAGATAATCTTCAAGCTCTGCGGCGGAAGAAAACGGAACAGGAGGCTCGCTGTCTCGAAAGAAATGATGTCTGTAGGTGCCACCACTCAAGCTCCCAAAGACCCCAGGTGGCGGTGGGATACTGATCAACTCGGAAAGGGCTTGTGCTCTCTGCTCATCCGAAGCAGATCGCTCAAATCGATGTCAATATACTCCATGACCATGTAAGTATATCCCCTGCCACTGCCCCGCCCTCGCCCACTTCAAAAGCGCGGTAGACCTCAGGAATCCGGATGGTGGTGTTGCATCTTTCCCTACTCTACTCTTCTGACGAAAGAATTCCTGCGCGTGGACTTCTCCATTGTGACAATGTTGTATTTGATAAAAAAAGGTATTGCCTTCCGCGGAATAGGTGGAGGGTATTGGCCTTAAAGCCCTTTTTCTTGCAGAGGCGCACCACCACATCCTTGGAAGGCAAGCCAGGAATTGCAGGATTGTAAATTTCACTTAGAGTAGTTGACATAATAGTAGCACTGCTGTGTCGCTGAAAAAGGGGGGATGAAGAGGAGATAACGTTGGGGACGATGAGCAGGATGTAGAATCCATGGATGAATAGTGTGCTACCCAGTGATAAAGCAGCCTCAGGATATTACGATGTGTTTGTGTCATTATTATAAGGGTTCTCAGTGATCACTAGATGTTCTAGATGTGCTCTAATGATATTGTATTAGTTGACATGGCCTGAAGACAGTCATGCCTTCAGATAAATTAGATCTAGTATGGATATCATCTCACAGTTTAGCATGTCTACTTAGAAGGGTATGTATGTTAGCAATAATAGTAAAGCGATTAAGCTACATTAGTCTTTATTACTCTTACAGAATTCCTTTGTTTGCTGTCTACTGTTCTGAGGTATAGCCAGCTAGACTTCTCTTTGTCATTATTCTTCTTCTCTTAAGGTACTCTCACATAACAGCACCTGTCTTAATCTAATGAAATCCTTTATATTCTCCTACTTCCTTTATTTTATGTATGTCTATATGTGTGGTAGACTAACCTGACCTGATCATTACACGCCGGTTCAAGTTAGGTCATAGTACGTCACGTGAGATGAGTCCTATATTATGTCTGCCCTTAATATTTATATCCCTCCAAACCCCTCCATTTCTATTGCCAGCTAACTCATATAAAGGAGCCAGATGACATCGCGCCTGGGTAGGCCTTTCTCTCTCTTTTGCAAGTCTAAACATATTTGCAGTAACGTATGTGCTGGGACAGTCTGTTAAACACTGACTCGTCAAATAGTAGTATGACGTGTGGAGTCTCGGACCCTTGGGCTAGACAAAGGCTTCCATGGAATACTGAATTCCTAGGGAACCAGAAAGAAGATGGACATTTCTTCAGGAGCCTCCAAGGGACATACTCCCTTCATTGTCTTACATCTACCACCATCCACTAGCCTTCATCTAGCTACCTCGTCTAGTCATGGACATGGACGATACCTACTTCCCTGATGAGCTTTGGCTCAATAGGGAAGTCCTATTCGCCTCTCCTTCAACCTCCGCTTGGAAACTGACCATCAAACTCAAGGAAAGTATCCGGCGTTTGAGCCAGAAAGAATCCGAAGAGTACCAAACCACTTCCATATCTATTGCTATGTTTGAATGTCACCGCTCTAGCGATCCGACTCAGCAGGCACGAGTTTTGATCTATACGCAGATTCCGAATAAGGGAACTCAGGCTCTTCCCCCCGACATGCGCCGCAGACAAGCTTCTGGCGAGGGCCCTGACGGCTTACAAGAGGAGCTTGAAGCCTACGAACGCCTGGCCAATCACGAGATTGATTTTACTCCTCAACTCGTCGGCTTCAAGCACGAAAGGCAAGATGTGAACGGTCTGGTCCCGGACGGGTTCGTGACTTACATGGCCTACACCAAGGTCCCCGGCGTCGCTCTGGGAACGAGGATTTACCGCTTTGGAGATGGTTCTGATATCCCCGATGTCAGTGTGGCCTCAGCTGCGCCCAGTACCAGACAGCCAGGAAGGCGTATCACGCAGTATAGCATTCCCGAAGGGCTGTTCTGGACCATGGGCAGAAGTGAGCGAGACCTGATTCGGGACAAATTCAATGAGATTTACAGGTCAGGCACCCAGTTATTATCGTCTGGGCTTATACTGACCTGTCTCCTCGTGGAAGGAAACTTCTCGCAGCAAGCCTCAAAGTCGAAATTCCTTATCTGGACAATCTGTTTTGGGAACAGAAGACACAGGAACTGTCAGTTTTCACTTTGACTCTTTCCACAGCGGATGATAATCTAATTTTGCATTATGGGTCTAGCTACATTGACGGGGTATTCGTGCCAACAGATGGAACGGTTACCTGGCGCCCGCAGGATGTGGCCTTGTGGGGTTTGGCTGTGTTTCCTGGTCGGCATAATTTGGGTCTGCAGGATGAAAATGACACGGATTTTATTGCTGCAGGCTGGATTCTGTAGGCATGGGGCTAGAGGGAGACGACCGGAGATGTCCTTGCTGGTGGTCCTTGGAGCCGAACCAAGATGCGAAACTAATCAAGGGCTGTGAGGTGGTGAGACGCCGGTAATAGGCTTCGCGTATATGTTTGCTGGAGGTAGTCGAAACATCACTTCAGAGTAATTTGGTCGCCTCCTAGGCGTTGGTGATTCCAGAAGGCCAGTATAGTACTACCGCATGCTCCTCGATGATTAGTTTGCCTCGGAAGCTGCTATTATATAGTCTAATCCGCCAATTGTTACCAGGTATGTAAAATTACAGAACTTGAACCGCCCAAAGCGAGACTAAATGCCTCCCCCGTGAGCACAAATAAACAAGAAGACAAAGAAAGAAAAAGAGAGAGAAAAAGGGTTGGGGGGGTGGGGGGGGAAGAGAGAGAGTCACACGCCACGGACAAGAAGCTAAAACGATTTTGGAAAAACAGAGGTGACCTCCCCTAATTCCGGAGCACAGATTACATCCATGTTAATCTCAAGCCCATAGGCAGGGTCGTAGGCCATTAAGCTCAGTCCATTCAGGCGGAAGTACCTTTCATATCCCGAAGAAGTGGCCAGGCTGACCGATTAGCTACCTGCAAACACCGGAACTTTTACATCTGGGTTCTCAAAAACAGCTTCCCAATGCTCCTTCACCTGCTCACAAAGTCCACTCTTGGACTTCCAGGATTCAAAGGCTGGCCGTATATCGCACGCCACCGATACAGTCGCTTCCCAGAACGCCCTCTCGGCGTCATATCCTAGACGTTCCATTGCCTCGGGGGGATGAGTCCAGAGTCTAGTAGGTTTGCCGTCGGAATCTACTAACTTTTGGCCCAGCAGGTCATTGCCTGGATTAAATTCCGGGTCTCCAGCATGAACGAAGAAGGCCCGGGGTGGCTTGGCAACTGAAGGATCCTTGACTCTCCATTTCTGTTGGCTCGTCAGGTTATAATCCTGAATGGGATCCGCTTGGATATATCCAGCATTGATTGCGACCTTTGCATTCCAGGGTGCGACATTTCCAACATCCACCGGCTTCTCACTAACAGAGTAGAAGGTCTCGTTAAGGGCAGTTGCAGCATGAAGGAAGGTGTCTTTATCGCCCGCACCGGGCGCACCCTGATCAAGAAGTATGTAATAATAATCCGGTCCATAATAGTTGTAATAGGCAGCGAGCAGCAACGTGGGAAAATAAGTCTTTTTCGAAACAGCAAGGATTCCAGCTTCGGTAGCCTGCCGCGTAGTGGAGAGAGGCTCGGGTTGTCGAGAAATGTTAAAGTATACCGGCGCAGCCGAATTAGCCCAGAAATCCGGCCATGTAACAAGGCCGGTGGATTCGAAAGGTTCAGAGTCGAGGATTACAGCGGGATCATACAGAGGGACACAGTCCGCGTCCAGCCACAGGAAGCTCTCAAACGAGGAGAATAGCATCGCGAACGACTTAATCTGAAAGTCCTCGATCTTCTCCATACTCTGCAGATTGTCCTGACCAGCAAGAATATCTGAGAGGACCAAGCATTTCACGCCCAATGGGGGTAAAACGGTCTCGCAAATCGAGGCCTCATACTCCGTCCGATCCTTCATAAACAGCTCCACTGGCAGCGTCGAACCAGTTCGCCGTAGTAACAGCAGAGATACTAGGAAAGTAGGTAGATATGTTCCGCCTGCGGAGGAGACAATACCGGTTGTTCCAGGTGTGTAGGCACGGTCAAGCTTCAGGCTGTGGATAGCATGCAGAAAGCCATCATGCGCCGCTTGCATGGGTAATAAAATCTCGTCAACATTGGAGACGTAGTTTGGGCGAGCGGTCTCTTTTACCGCATCAAATGGTTGGGTGCCCGCGCTACCACGCTGGACCGGTTGAGAACAGTTAGGCTTATATTCCTCCAGCAGGAGATGAAGCTGCTGCCACAGGGAGTGCCAGTGCTGGTCTTGAGGCGGAGAGCTGAAACTTTCCCGATGCAAGTAAAAGTAAAAATAAGCTAAGTCTGGCCATATCTATCCACTGAGTTAACTGCAGCACCTCTGTCAAGTAATATTTTCACCACTGCTTCATGCCCATTTCGTGCCGCCCATAATAGAGGTGTCTGGTAGAAGAGATCTCTTGAGTCCACTGCAGCACCTCTGTTAAGGAGTATCGTTACCACTGCCTCATATCCATTCTCTGCCGCCCATGACAGTGGTGTGCGCTCATAAGAATCCTCAGTGTCTGAATAATGCTGATTCTGGATTAACATCTGTACAATGTCGCTCAGGCCAAAATACGCTGCAAGGTGCATGCTTGTCATTCGCCGTGGCACATTTTGACTGTAGTTGAAGAACCCGATGTAGTCTTCATGTACTAACATCGCCTGACTTGAGCACGGATGTGATAGACTCACTATTAAGGAAATCTAACACCACCTCCGTGAGGATGAGGACGCTTCAAGACCCACACTTGCATTTGCGTTGGCATATCCTGACTTAGGCTGGACACCTTGGCAACACAGTAAAGAAGGCTTGAATTAGACTGTCGCGCCCTAATTGAAGCCTCCCGAGCATGGTGTCCCCAATTACGCGCAGCGTAATCATACAGAACGTTTGACTGTAACCGTTTCTTAAATTCTGTATCATCCGAGCAGTACCCGTTCTGAAATGTATCGAAAGATAGAGAAGTGATGCAGGTTTTCACGATTTCAAACTCTGCATCAGGAAACCAACGGATCTGGGTTCGCCGAAAGTATCCTTGCGTCGTGTAGTGGACCAACCGAATCATACCGCTTTCTCCATCGATCGTAACCAGCCCAAGGCATAGAGATCGTATGAGGTTGGTACTAGGAAGGTAGTCTCTGTCCAGTTTCGCGGACCGGATCTTAACAGCAAGCGCATGCCGAATCTCTTCAGTCGAAAGTGGCCTTCTGGCATGAAAAATCCAAAACAGGATTTGTTTTGAAAGATCTCGTCTTTCTCTTATTTGATCCTCAGTCCTCTCCATCGTCTGGTTGTAAATTTTGTTTAGTGTCTCTTCTCCTTTAGCAAGGTTCCCGGTAACGCATCCTTAATATGACCCTTCGTTGGCAAGGACATGGGCGATTTTATGTGCCAGTTCCAGTTTGTCGTCTCTGAAAATAGTTGCTTTGCAGAGGGCTGTAGTCGTCTGGCGTGATCCAGTTGAGTAAATCATGATCTTCTTTTCTCGCTAACCTAGACCTCATCGTGTCGATGTTCGCTTCGATATTGCCAAGAGCTAGGTTTATCATAAGCAAGCATCCGAAATGACACATTTCTGCCAAAAAGTATGCCGAGCAAGATCAATTCCTCAAGGCTACGTACATTGCTTTATCGGACATAGATCCATGACACCTTGCCCAGGAATAACAAGTAGAAGTTCTTTAGCATATGATGCTGCCGTTGTCGCAGCATATGGCTGCCAGACCTTATTCTTATGGGAATCAGCATAGTTGCAGATACGCTGAATGACGAGACAGGGAAACGAGTCCATTAACGTCCACGAACTCGGTTTCTGGCAAAGCACATATCCACCCGACAGTGTAATCACCACGCGCGAACTTTCGGACAGTTTGGTGCATCTTGGACTACTCGGAGAAGCTCAGTTTTGCGGTTATAATTCTATACATCGAGACTCACAAGTGGGCTAGTTGCTGTTGAGAGTCCGGCTGGATGGGTAGATAAATAATTACAGCGAATTTCCACCCTGGATGGGAATGTTATCTTATTCTTAATATCTGGCCCTGTAATCTACGGCGGCTGGGCAGCCTTGACATGATCAAGTAAGCCTCGCCCGCAAAGCCAGACAGCCACATTGTGACATACTGCATCTCATGCAGAAGTCGTCACGCGCTACAGGCGAGGGAACACTGTTAGTGGTGCGCAATTTTCCTTTGCATTGTGGCCTAAAGCTGATTAGTCATAAACTGTAGACTAACTATGGTACAGAGAACACTTCATTTCACTCTCATTAGCAATGAATTTGAAGGTGGTAGATTTATCAATAAATGAAAAGAATAGATGAGCAAAAACATACAACAGCCGGGATTCGCTGGTGGTCACCCACCCAACTACTA